AGACAATACATGTAAAGTCTTATAACAATGTCTGGTATATAACTACTATTATATTTTAAATTACGTGTAGTTTAAGCACTCAAGATTTTTCATTCACATACTTTTTCATTTTATTTTTTGTACTAATAGAATACTGGTTCTAATTAAGAAGAAAAGATTTTAGATGTAGAGCAAAGTACATTTAGATAGCTTGCTCCACAGACATAAATGCCAAGCAACAGCTATACCATTATATTTTAATGTGTACATACAAAAATACAACAGCATTGTGTACTAGATTGGTTTAACTATGAAACAGTTTACTTATATTTCAATGTGTTACACAGTAGAAGATATATGACATTCTTAAACTAGTGAAAATGGGTAATCGGTGCTAACAAAGGTAGTCAGGCCCACAGGTACTAGGTTAATCTGGGGGATAAGCTCTTTATTATCCATAAATTGGTTTCAGGAGCACTTGCTTTTTTCCTGGGGAAAGAGTCCATAGCTTTTGATTAGATTGCTTCAGAGGATTACAATCTCCAAACATTCAAGAACTTCTGCTCATGGCCAGTCATGGTGACTCACGCCTGTAATCCCAACACTTTGGGAGACCAAGGCAGCCTCCTGGATCACCTGAGGTCAGGAGTTCGAGACTAGCCTGACCCCTATGGTGAAATCCCAGCTCTACTAAAAATACAAAAATTAGCTGGGCGTGATGACATGCCCAGATACTTGGGAGGCTGAGACAGGAAAATTGCTTCAACCCAGGAGGTGGAGGTTACAGTAAGCTGAGATCATACCACTGCACTCTAGCCTGGGCAACAGAGTGAGACTCTGTCTCCAAAAAAAAAGAATAACTTCTGTTCAATGGCTATTATTAAAAAGTCAGCCAGGTGTGTAATGTAATCACACCTGCAATTCCAGCATTTTGGGAGGCCAAGGCAGGCAGATCACAAGGTCAGGCAATCAAGATCATCCTGGTAAATGTGGTAAGACCCCATCTCTAATAAAAATACAAAAATTAGCTGGGCGTGGTGGCATGTGCCTGTAATCCCAGCTACTCGGGAGGCCGAGGCAGGAAAATCATTTGAACCAGGGAGTTAGGGGTTGCAGTGAGCTGAGATGGTGCCACTGCACTCCAGCCTGGTGACAGAACGAGACTCCATCTCAAAAAAAAAAAAAAAAAAAAAAAAAAAAAAAAAAAAAAAAAAAAAAAAAAAAAAAAAAAAAAGAAAAGAGAATGCTTATACACTGTTGCAGGCAATGCAAATCAGTTGAGATCCTGTGGAAATCAGTTTGGAGATTTCTCAAAGACCTAAAAATAGAACTATCATTTAACCCAGCAATCCCATTACTGGGTACATACCCAAAGGAAAATACATCATTCTACCAAAAAGACACCTGCACTCATATGTTTATCACAGCATTATTCACAATCGTAAAGACATGGAGTCAACTCAAGTGCCCATCAAGTTGGATTGGATAAAAAAAAATGTAGTACTGGCAAAACCCCATCTCCACTAAAAGTACAAAAATTAGCCAGGCGTGGTGGCAGACGCCTGTAATCCCAGCTACTCAGGAAGCTGAGGCAGGTGAATAGCCTGAACCTGGGAGGCGGAGGTTGCAGTGAGCCGAGATCGTGCCACTGCAGCCCAGCCTGGGTGACAAGAGGGAGACTCCATCTTTAAAAAAGAAAAAGAAAATGTAGTACATAGACACCATGGAACACTACACAGTCATAAAAGAGACTGAAATAATGTTCTTTGTAGCAACATGGATGCAGCTGGAGGCATTATCCTAGGTGAATTAATGCAGAAACAGAAAACCAAATACTAAATGTTCTCACTTCTAAGTGAGAGCCAAATGTTGGGTATACATGAACATAAAGATGGGAACAAGAGATACTGGAGACTCCTAAAGAGGGGAGGAAAGGAGGAGTATAGAGATGTAAAACTACTTATTGGGTACTATGTTCACTACTTGAGCGAAAGGATCATCAGAAGTCCAAACCTCAGCATCACACAATATACCTATGTAACAAACCTGCACATGTACCCCTTAGATCTAAAATTTTTAAAAAGGCTAGTTGTGGTGGCTCACGCCTATAATCCCAGCACTCTGGGAGGCTGAGGCGGGCGGATAACCTTAAGTCAGGAGTTCAAGACCAGCCTGGCCATCATGGAAAAACCGTCTCTACTAAAAATACAAAAATCAGCCAGATGTGGTAGCAGGTGCCTGAGCTTCAGGAGGCTCAGGCAGAACTGCTTGAACCTAGAAGGCAGAGGTTGCAATGAGGTGAGATTGCACCACTGCACTCCAGCCTAGGTGACAGAGAGAGAGAGGCTTCAACACAAAAAATAAACAAATAAATTAATTAATAAAATTTTAAAAAAGAATTATTGCTTATGTATCAAAAGTACTGCTAATACTGTAATTTAATCAGGAAGTTCTGCTGAAAAGAGAGTGGAAGGTCCCAATTGGTATAATTTGAATACTCCAATGAGAAACAAGATTTTAAGGAATAACATTTTAAAAATTCAACTAAAAATATAACGCACTCTTTTGCTTCTCCAAATTTTAAATACTTTACCTTAACTAATAAACCATACTTGTCAAACATCCAGATTTTCTTTTGTGCCTCTTCTTCTGACAGGCCATTTTCTACCATAGACATAACTATAAGATTTGCAATTCCAAGAGCAGCCTGTCCAACAAAACATAAATTTTAATATATACTACAGTATGATGAAATGCTTAAGTTACTTTATATATGAAGATTATATGCTGTAAGAAATATTTGGTTTATTTTCCCTTACAAATCAAACAAAAATTCTTCAAGATACTCTCTCTAAACGTATTTTAAATTACCTATTTTATAGTAAAAGTCTTGATTTCATGTCCTCTACCTCAACAAAATTACAAGCTCATTACGATCTTTTATATAAACATCAACATTCTGCCCATTTTCCAAATTTAGAAAAGAGGGTGGACTTTAAGTTTTAAAAAGTCTACAAAACTTACCTCTCCTGCTCCAAGGAATAAGATTTTATGTTCGGAGATTGGTTTACTAATAACTTTTTGTGCTGCAAGAAGGCCTGCAAGAGCTACTGCAGCTGTCCCTGTAAGAAAAACAAAGATTTTTACAAATAAAAAATGGGCACATTAAAAATGTTTAAAAAGTAAGAATCAAAACCCTAAAGTTTTTTTTTTTTTTTTTTGCTTTACCTTGAATATCATCATTGAAAGTACAATATTTTTCTCGGTATTTTCTCAAGAACCTGAATGCATTATGATTTCCAAAGTCTTCAAACTGAATGAGTGTGTTCCGGCCGTATCTAAAAACAGCAAAACCCATAATAGTTGTGTTGAAAATAACACTATTAAACAACTTTCCATCTAATATTCCCTATGGTAGCATTCAAAAATAATGTACGTTAGTTCAATTAAAGCCATCTGAAAATTTTGGGAGCCAGTGAAAAACTAGATTCAAAATGTAGAAATTATTCAATTAAAAACGTACGAGGTTTTTAAAAAGAACATGTCACAATAATGGACCCATGGGATATGAATCTGTGTAAACTATTTCCAAGTGTCTAGGAGGACACTTTCTTTGACTCCGAACCTCAAAAAATATATATTTGATATGAAATTCTCATTACATTTTCAGTTAAACAGCAACACAAGAAAGTATATATTACATAAATAATTGAAAAGTAATTCCTATTTGAGTTCACTGACATTCAGAAAAAGATGTCAATGATCTAGGTGAGTTATAGTAAGGGAAGGCTTGAAAAGGGGGTGGGCCCTAAAAGAACAAAAAGTAAAGTGGTAGGAAGAAAAGCAGGCTGTATTTGGGTGACCCTGAATTTTCAATAATCTGGCTATATATTTCATGGTTTACATTAAGAGATAAGGGAGGAGTTGGTTAACGCAAATTAGGACCAAATAAGGGAGAATCTCAAATGCTAAATTAGAGAACAGGGACTTTCTTCTGCATCCCACGTAGAACCACTGAAGGCTGCAGAGAAAGGAAAAAATTCACACATGACGCCTTTTAGGAAGGATAAACCTGCCAGTGATACGTAGCACATATTGGTGTGGGGAGAGACGCAAATGGCAGAAGCAACTAGGCGGCTACTGTAACATGAAGACAAGAGATCTGAAGCAGAAGATTCAGGAAGCAAAAGGAGTAACTATGAGCTATAAGAAAGAATGAATAGAAATTGAAGAGGATCAACTGGAAAATGAGGAAGAAGCTGTTACAATGTCAAGGTACTTGGAATAACTAAGAAGGCACTATTTGGCTGTCCAAAGTAGGAAAGTGAGAGGAAGAAGAAGAGATGGCAATTTCTGAGAAGATGTTCCACTTTAGATTTGTTGACTTTGACCCTGAAAAGGAATTAATTTTCTTTTTTTTTTTTTCTTTTTTTTTTTTTTTGAGACGGAGTTTCGCTCTTGTTACCCAGGCTGGAGTGCAATGGCGCGATCTCGGCTCACCGCAACCTCCGCTTCCTGGGCTCAGGCAATTCTCCTGCCTCAACCTCCTGAGTAGCTGGGATTACAGGCACGCGCCACCATGCCCAGCTAATTTTTTTTTGTATTTTTAGTAGAGATGGGGTTTCACCATGTTGACCAGGATGGTCTCGATCTCTTGACCTCGTGATCCACCCGCCTCGGTCTCCCAAAGTGCTGGGATTACAGGCTTGAGCCACCGCGCCCGGCCTTAGGAATTAATTTTCAAATATCTTCTACATGCCAGCAATTTTAAAGGTAGGCCAAGATTAGATCATCAAAGTAAAGGGTTTGATTTTATCCTATGGCAATAGGAAACCAATGAGAGATTTCAAGGCAAAGAATGACATAATCACAATGATTAATCTGGTGTTAAGGTGGAGATAAACTGGAGAGGAGAGGACTGGAGGAAGAATTAGAAAACTCTAGGAGAGACAAGGAGAGAGCAAGATCGTGGCTTTCTCCGTACCTCTGGAAAACAAGAGACATTTAAGTGGTAGTACCCACTGAATTTAAGAAATATCTGACCGCATGGGAGACTGATGGAGAAGGCAGAAGGGTCAAAGATAACACCAAGATCAAAGTTTTGGCAATAGGGTGAATGTTACTGCCAATAATAGAAGCTTCGAATACAGAAGATAGGTTGTTTGGAAAGGAAAGGAGTTCAGTGTGGGATATGAATATGCACTCACAACAGAATATCCAGATGGAAGATTCTGGTTATTAGAAATGCAGGCCTCAGAACAGCAATGGGACTAGAGATGGGTTTTTATGGGTTTAGGGGTAACATACATAAAGGTCACAGTTCATGGGTCAAAGAGAAGAGGACTATGTAGTCATCCACATTTGATAAGACACAGCAAGAACCAGTAAAGATGACAAAAAAAGAGAGAGAGAGAGAAAGATGGGAGAAAGACCAAGTTAGGAGGAAGCTATTTAGCAGTCAAGAGAAGAGAGTTTCAAGGACGTAGGAGTGGGAAAACCTGAGTCCATGTTGCAAAGAGGTAGAGAGGTGGGAGGACCAAATGGTCAGAGAACTTAAAATACAAAAGCTGCACAAGAGCTTCAGTGGAATGTGGGTGTGGGTCTCAAGGTCAAGTCTGAAAAAGGTACCCCGCAGTAAGACTTTGATAGAAGCAGTGAGGGCAGACTTCCCTCAAAATATCAGGTAACTCAAGAAAGCAAGGCAGACCATGGGAACCATCTCATATCAGCACATCTAATCAGGCAGAAACAGCCAGGCTGGACAAAGTTCTCAAAAATGAATGGCTTCCTGCTTATCTTCACAAGAGATAAAGGAAAACAAAACAAAACTTTTGGTTCTTACCCTGCCGCCCTCCCCTCCATTAAAGGTGCTTTCATATATTCAAACCTTTTAAAAATACCTGTCAGTAATAGCTTTCATAAACTCATCAATCAGGTCATCATACTGTTGTGTGCGATCTCTTTTCTGGTACAAGCCCATGTAAAATGGGTCTTTTAAGAGTGCCTATAAAATAAACCAAATGTAAAAATAAAATAATTTTTATTACATAATCATTTTAAATAAAAACTGCAAAACAAAAAATTACTAATACAATTTTTTAAATTTATTGCCTATTTTTTTTCTTTTGAGACAGGGTCTTGCTCTTGTCACCCAGGCTGGAGTGCAACGGTGCAATCTCGGCTGACTGTAACCTCCATCTTCTGGGTTCAAGCAATTCTCTTGCCTCAGCCTCCCAAGTAGCTGGGATTACAGGTACGCACCACTACACCCGGCTAACTTTTTTGTATTTTTGGTAAAGATGGGGTTTCACCACGTTGGCCAGGCTGATCTCGAACTCCTGATCTCAGGTGATCCACCTGCCTCAGCCTCCCAAAATGCTGGGATTACAGGTATGAGCCACCATGCCCGGCCCAAGAAACTTTTAATAGACTTAATTTACTATTATTTATATAAATATTAAAAGTGGAATTTAAGAAAAAGACTAACATCTAATGATAAAATTTTCCCTTCTTAAATTATCATCTTCAAAAGAGGAATAGAATACAAACTTTTAAAAATACAGGAGGAAGATAAAGGGGGAAAATGATATTACTCACGATGTTATCCGTTCCCACATCAATACACACTGGCAGGCATCTATCAGGCCGTATTCCTGCACAAGCTGTATACAAGCAAAGTTTTCCTACTGGAATTCCCATTCCATAGACACCCAGATCTCCAAGACCCAGAATTCTCTCTCCATCAGTCACTACAACAGCCTTAATCACAAAAAAAATACAAATTAAAAGTTGTCAAAAATGGGGCAATAAAGAAAAGTATTCCGTAAAAGATTGAATCACTTCATATGTTTTCACTCTTGCTTTTAAAAATAAAATTGGTTCTTGGCTAATTTCCAATGTAAACTAACCAAACATACTTAAAATTCTAGGATTTCTGACTATTATGGGACATTAACTAGATTGGATGTCCTCTGACTTCAGTTTAGAAACAGAATTCTTCTGACTAGAGGACCAACTTAAATATCATGAGAAAGATTAAATATGGCAGAGATGAACAAGATTCTGATTGACAGATTACCGTAAGAGAAAATTAAGAGCTTAGAAATAAATAGCATGATACTCCAACACAATAACCGATGCCAAACAAGAAAAACCTTAGCAACTGTGAAAAAAAGATCTAGAACAAAAAAAACCTACTTATAAAGTCTTAAGATGATACTGTGAGTTTAATTATTTGCCCAAATTTTTGCTAGATTATTCAAACCAATGATCATTCAGCAACATTTTGGTAAAGAGTATAAAGGCAGGTAAGATTATTGCCTATAATAAAATTTACAGAAGCTTACCCAAAGATCTTTAAATAAGTTATTACATTTTATGAAAGATAACCAAATAAGCCAGGGCTTATATTTGCCATATTTAACATTTTTATAATTGGTAAGGTTCTAAATCTTAGATTTAAAAGAAAAAAAGGCATAACCAAACTTCTCTCTAACATCATCCATAAACAAAAGTTTTTATGGCATTTTAATGTATTTTCTTTTCTTAGAATAATATTAGTGAAAAGAAGAGGAGACTGAGAAGGCCGGAGACACCAGTGGTTCTGATACCGAGAGGGCTCAGCTTGTATTCTAGCTCTAATTCCTTTCTCAGAGTCAAACTCTATACCAGTAGCCCATTTTATAAGTACCACTATTATCATCTCCGCAGCTACAGAGCACTAAATCTGCATGTATTTAAGTGCAAAATAAATTAGGGCAACAATTAAAAACTGTTCTTGGAGATTTAGAGGTAATTTACAAGAAAAGAGAAAACATTGTGAAAAGAAGGGTTGTGCTATTAGTACCTTAACATGATTTTCTGGCCAGTTATCCACAATTGATCTAACATGACCTCTGTCTGAGATCGAAATAAATAATCCCCTGCAACAGAACAAAAACACCTTTGCATTTCACAACAGCTTTATTTCTAAGTTTTTTTCATAATTGAAATATTTTGATATTTTAATAAAATATCAAGACATGGTATAATTTCCAAGCAGATTTAGCTAGAGCACACTAGTTTATTTTCAAACATTTTCAAGTACTTCAAACTGTAATTACACTGGTCATAGCAACCGCAACAAAGATTATTGTTAAATGATACAATCACTTTACCCAAAAAGAAATGTATACACACCTCATGTTCAAATAAACTCAATACACAACCAGGAAAAAAAAACAATCTAAAGCAAGCCACCAATGCAGGACAGCATAACAAGGCCAACTAAACTATGATTAAAACTTACTGAAACTGAAAATTTGAAATTTGAAGGAGCAGGAAGGGAGAGAAGAAAATTACAGTAAATTCACACAAAAGACGAAACACCTGAAGTATCATGAAAAGTTACTTTTACTTATTTAACATTTTTTTCATTGACAAAAATTGGATATACAGTTGGCCCTTGAACAATGTGGGTGTTAGAAAATCAAAAGTCAAAAATTTACAAATGATATTCCAAAAACTTAACTACTAATGGCCTACTACTGACTAGAAGCCTTACCAGTAACATACAGGTTGACCAACACTTTTTTTTTTTTTCAGATGGGGTTTCGTTCTTTCACCAAGGCTGAAGTGAAGTGGCACAGTCTTGGCTCACTGCAACCTCCACCCCACCGGGGTTCAAGGGATTCTCCTGCCCCACTCTCCCAAGTAGCCAGGATTTTAGGTGCCTGCCACCACGTCCAGCTAGTTTTTGTATTTTCAGTAGAGACAGGGTTTCTCCATGTTGGCCAAGCTGGTCTTAAACTCCTGACCTCAGGTGATGCACCCACCACAGCCTCCCAAAGTGCTAGTATTACAAGCGTGATCCACCGCATCCGGCTAACTAACACTACTTTGTATGTTGTATGACATACGAATTATATATTGTATTCTTACAATAAAGTAATATAGAGAAAACAAAATGTTATTAAGAAAATCATGAAGGGGAGCAGGAGGAGGGGTTGGTCTTGCTGCCTCAGGGGTGGCAGAAGCACAAGAAAATCCCAATATAAATGGACCTTCGCACCTGTGTTGTTCAAGGGTCAATTGTATTTATCACGTACAACCTGTTTTGAAATATGCATAAATTGTGGAATGACTAACAAAAAGTCATTTTAAACACAGTATGTCATTGCCTAATTCAGATAATCCAGGTTTCAAAAGAGAAAGGAAAGGAAGGAAGGAAAAAAAAGAAAAAAGAAACACAGGTTCTAGAAGAACACAGGTCAGGCAGACATGAGGGCCAATGGATCCTCATTGCTGTCAAACTGATCTTACGTTTAACTTTCTCATTGATACCTAAAATTGGACACTACTATTATAGTTCAAATCAGTTTAGTTCAGCCATTTCTCAAACATGGCTATATAATGGAATCATCCGATAAACTAGAATGCCAGGGTCCCACCTCCAAAGATTCTGATTTAATTGGCTTAAAGTTTATATCAAACAACCAACGAAGATTTAATAACTATCTACAAAAACAAAATGAACAAAAAAGCCCATAGTACAATACATTGCATAAATAATATACAGTATTTGCCCTCACACAAAAAGCCATGCTCTTCATGTTTTCTGTTGGTTCCCAACTCTGGGTATACATCAGAATCACACCAGGCTCTTTTGTGAAACTCCTAAGCCTAAACTAACGGAATCTGAATCTCTAGGGGTGGGGCTCAGGCATCAGTATTTCTAAGTTTCTCTCTATCTTTCAATCAACCTAATGAGAAAGTATTAAATAGCTGAACAAAATGTTTATGTCATAGAAACATTTTAGATACAGTAATTGTTGGCAGCATACAGGTTAGAACAGTGTTTCTCGGTTTTCCAGGGAATACAGACAACACATTCACTGAGGGTGCTCACTAAAATCCAGACCTTTAGACCTTTTTTCTTTTTCATAAGAAATCTTGGGGATGGGGAGGAGAGGTAAATTGGCAGAAATTATCATTTTGAGTAAGTCCCACAGGTATTTCTTACACACATTAAAGTTTGAAATCCACTAGACTAGATGACAGGAGATTGAATATAAATGCCGTCATACATTGTTTGAATTTCTACATGTGGAACAATATGTTAATTGGGCATGGGGAAAATATTATAAGGATTGAGAAAAGTAATAATAGATTAGAGGAACAAGACAAGAAAACTCAGATTAAGTAAAAACGGCATCTATATATATAATATTTATAATTTTCCGAAGAACTGTCACATTGGTTTCTCCAATAGCTCTTTGATAGGTCCTGCTTTTCCCATTTTACACAAGGAAGCACATTTACAGGGATCATGTGACTCATTCGAGGACTTGAGTCAGTCCTTGCCATTCCAGTACTCTTCCCATTTATAATGTTTGTAGGTGCTACAACTATTTGAAATAAAAATTCATGAAAGTTCATTAAAAAAAAGTAGAACAGGCCGAACGAAGTGGCCTGTAAATCCTGGCAACTTCAGGGGCTGAGGCAGGCCGATCGCTTGAGGTCAAAAGTCCAAGAGCAGCCCAGCCAACACGACAAAATCCCATCTCTACTAAAAATACAAAAATTAGAAGGCGTGGTGGCATGCACCTTAATTCCAGCTACTAGGGAGGCTAAGGCATGACAATTACTTGAACCTGGGAGGTAGAGGTTACAGTGAGCTGACATCACACCTCTGTACTCCACTCCAGCCTCCATGACAGAGTGAGACTCTGTCTCAAAAACAAAAAACAAACAAACAGAAATTAAAACTGATTAAAAAATGAGAAAGAACCAATCTCTTAATTTGGCTTTATTGACAAAAATTTTAATGATAATTCTGGGGAATCTCCCACCAGAATTAAAACATTTTTTGGTGGTGGTAGTGGGGAGTTAAAAGTATATAATTCTTCTAACAACCACAATAATTTAAAGAAGGTTAAAAATAAATGATATTATTTTTACAAAGATAAAAGTTATCAGCTAAAGAAAAAAAGTTATCAATATGTTGGGGTTTCATTAATCTCTTTTAATCGAAATTAAATTTTTGTGAAGTGGGAAATGTGATTCGGCTAAGACACATAAAACAAATGTAATAGGTGTTATGGAATGATATTTTCCTCATTCAATCATCATTTACAAGCATTTTTTTAAAATAAGCCTTACTTAGGTCTTCTAAAGATGTGTCCATACTGGGAGCAGGCAAGACCAACTGTTGGTGTATATACAATTGGCATTAAACTCTCAATGTCATCTTGCAGTATTCTATAAAACAATTTCTCATTTCTTTCTTGTATTCCCATTATGTAGATATATCTGAAATTAAGCACAGTAAATAATGTCTAAGTCAGCCTACATTTACATTAAAAGTCTTGGCTTATGAAAGTTAAACCTAAATGTCTAAAACCGAAATCCCACATCCACATTCTAAAAAAACCCAAAACCTTAGATTATCACTATTAAACACCCAGGACTAAAAATTAACAAAAATACGAGGGTACTTAAATGGTAAATGATGATGATGATGAAGACAATGAAATAATAATAGAAACAATGTTTACTGAACTCTTACTCCGAGTCAGGGACTGTAGAAGGCACTAGAAATGCAAAGATCACTATGAGGTCCTTATCCTTAAAGAATTAGTCTTCAAGGAGACTGACATATAAATAGGGGAGCAAAATAAAATGGCATTCATTCAAACATTTGCTTAACACTATATGCCTGGCACTATTCTCCAAGGATACAAGAAGTGACCACTGTTTTCAAGGAATTTATAACCCAAGAGGGTTAGAAGCATTACAAGGTCTACACAGAATGCAGAAGTGGCACAAAAAAGGCAACTGTCAATTGATGTCAATAAATATATTAATAATTTATTTTTAAATTTAGAAAACAGGGAACTGGCTTGAAAGCTAGTAATCATCTTGAATTAAATATGTCTAAAGCAGACATATCTTTCCCCTGACCTTGTTTCTTTGGCTATCATGTGACCAAATGGGAAACCCAGATTCCATTCTTGATTTCTTCCACTCCTACCCTCCCCAACACCAATCCTATAAATCACCAAGTCCTACAGAGTCTACCTGCTAAACAGCTTTCAAATATATCCATCTGCTCCCTCTATCCTCACACAGTACAAGCTACCATCATTTCTCAGCTGGACTACCTCAAAAGCCTTCTTACTAGTCTTTATAAACAATATTTTCCTCCTACGCTCCAGTTCATTCTTCTCTTAAAAACCTGTGTTTTCTGTTCTCCTTAAATTGCTTCCAAACAAATCATCGTAAAATAAGGCTCAAGCTCCTAAAATAGTTAACAAGACCTCTGCCCACTTTTCAGCCTCATGCCCTTCATGTTGACTTCAGCTCCTTCAATGCAACACAACTCAAACCGGAGTTGCTGCATTTAGAGCACTCTCCATCCAGGCATAGTCCTCCTATACATGTGCACTCCAAATGCAGCTCAGGTGGTGTGCTTTCTGGGGGCCCTTTTCTGTCCACTCTCCTCCCCTATCATATATACATACACGCTTTAGACTTTCTTGTTTTCAGGTCCCATAATACCCTCTTCCCCTCTGTACCTCTCACTTGACTTCCTAACTTTGTGGCTTCCTCCAGCCTAGACAATACCATAAATTAGAAACAATCACCTCATGCCCTTCTTTTTTTTTAATTGCATTTTAGGTTTTGGGGTACATGTGAAGAACATGCAAGATTGTTGCATAGGTACACATGTGGCAGTGTGATTTGCTGCCTTCTTCCCCATCACCTATATCTGGCATTTCTCCCCATGCTATCTCTCACCAACTCCCCACTCCCCCGCTGTCCCTCCCCTATTTCCCCCCAACACACCCCAGTGTGTAGTGCTCCCCTCCCTGTGTCCATGTGTTCTCATTGTTTAACAACCTCCTATGAGTGAGAACATGCGGTGTTTGATTTTCTGCTCTTGTGTCAGTTTGCTGAGAATGATGGTTTCCAGCTTCACCCATGTCCCTACAAAGGACACAAACTCATCGTTTTTTATGGCTGCATAGTATTCGATGGTGTACATGTGCCACATTTTCCCTGTCCAGTCTATCATCGATGGGCATTTGGGTTGGTTCCAGGTCTTTGCTACTGTAAACAGTGCTGCAGTGAACATTCGTGTGCACGTGTCCTTACAGTAGAACGATTTAACCTCATGCACTTCTACAGTTCCAGGAACTATTAATAGCAATATCTGGCATATAACTGGTGTGCAAACACTTGGTGAATAAATGAGAAGAACTCATTTATATATAATCCCTTCAATTATATAAATATAATCCCTTCAATTATATTTTCCATATAGCTAAAAACAGAAGAAATGGTATCAATAGACAGAAGTTAAAGGGAAGATGATTTCTCCTAGGTATAGGGAAGTAAACAAACTGGACTGCTAAAATGGAATCGATGGCTTTGTGAGATGTCAAGGAAAGGACAGATAATCTATGAGGCATGTGATAGAGGGAAACTGCCGAGTCATGGATCTCCTCAGTTACCACTTTCAATCTTTATTCCACTTCAGTCACACTTCTGTGTGTCTCATAGTGTTGCGCAGCACTCACCTATGATTGTTATAGCTCAGCAATGGTGAATGCCCTTATCCACTGTCGGATCACAATCCTCTACCATTTTGGATAGCCATGTAATGCCCTCACTTCGTCATCCTTCAGAGGGATATCTAACTCTCTGACTGCTTCATTTTCTCCCAATTCCATGGGCTCCCTTTAGGAGCCTCTTTGTTTCCCACTCTGGATCCCAGGATCAAATCTCTCAATCTGAGCAAATCTCCCCCTGTCATTACTGTTAGGAATCCTCACATACATTTATCACTGTACTACCCTTCCACAGTGTCTGCCTTTCCACCAGAGACAGTGAACTCCCTGAAGGGAAGGGCTGAGTGTTTTCATTTTTGGAGTTCTAAAGCTTAGAACAATGCCAGGCACATAGCAGTCCTGAATGAATAGTAACTGAATGAATTTATGTAACACCTGCCTTTGCCAGCCCAGCAAACTCCAAGCCTGAATCAATGTTACATTTCATCTTTTCTGTGGAAAAATAACATTGCTATGCAGCATGGCAACAATACAAACAATATCCTGCCAGTATGCCATCAGGGTCTGCTCTCATCCCTTTAACCTGCTCTTGTTCAGCCTTTCTTTTTTTTTTTGAGACAGGCTCTCACTCTGTCACTCAGGCTGGAGGGCAGTGGTGTAATCATGGCTCACTGTGGCCTTGACCTCCTGGGCTTAAGTTATCCTCCTGCCTCAGTCTTCTGAGTTGCTGGAACTATAGGTGTGTGACACCAGGCCTGTCTAATTTTTTTTTTTTTTTTTTGTTTTGTAGAGACAGGGTCCCACTGTGTTGCCCAGGCTGGTCTAGAACTCCTTGGCTTAAGTGATCCTCCCACCTTGGCCTGGAAAAGTGCTGGGATTACAGGGATGAGCCACCAAGACTAGCTTTTGTTCAGCTTTATCTTATGGCCACGTGGCTCTTCCAAATATTTATCACTCTCCTTATCAACTCTCCTTAACCTCGGCCCTTCCAAATCTGAGCGATGACTTTCATATTCTATGTCATAAAGGAAATCAAGGTCATCAGTTAAGATGAGATCTCATTACTTCT